TGGAAGTATTTCAGATTGCATGTGAAAACCCCACACTGTACCCTAGAAGTGCATTAATGTACATAGTTACCGTTCATATAAATAAAAAAAAAAAAAGAAAAAGAAAAAAAAGACAAAATAAATCAAGAACTAGGGGGTGTGCTATATGTTTATAACTACACAAGGTGTTGTAAGTCCTTGAAAATAAAACAAAGTCTTGGGAGTTTATAAAAAAAAGTTTATAAAAGAACCAAAAACCCCATTGGGAGTTTATAAAAGAACCAAAAACGAAATGATAATACTTCTGAAAAACTTCCCTTTTACTACAAGCATATAAAAATTCCCTTGCCTTTTCACTGCTAACTCTGAATTTCAAATGCCTGCTTTCAATCCAACTACCATGCTGCTTCCTTCTGCCATTTAGTAATTGTTGGTAACTGTCAGTTTTGTTGGCTGGTTGATTAATTTCTCTGTATACAATATTACCATGTGTTGTGGTGGAAGACGGTCCATTATGATATATGTAGACAAAACTGGATTGAAAAGCAATGTTATAGGTACTTCCTCTGTCCACAGATGAGTTTTGCTTTATTTGCAGTTGTGAAGGAGATATTTCTATGCATTTATTATCCTGAGAATGCTGAAGGTCAGGTATGGATTTTAGTAGAAATATTTTTTTATCTCAATAGGTCAAATTTGCCTAAATCCTTACAAACATCAGCACTTTAAATAGGAACATGAATTAAGGACTTTTCTCATATTTCTTATTTTATTTTCAAGGTTTGGTTCATGACATTCATTTAGGTTTCTTCCATCTCTGGAATGACCTCTTGACACCTACAAATAAATATATCGATATCTTTGAGGCAATTCTTATGGAATATACATTAATCTCTCTATCTTTCTATAAATACCAAATGTGTATTTTCTGACATTTCCAGTTGGAAATAATTAGGTAACTTAATTCATTGCATTGTTTATAAAGAATCTATTTTTAACAAATCACAGTTTAAAAACCAGGTGGTATAATTACAGAAGAGAAGGGACATATTTATGAATCCAGGGAACAAAGTTTGACACCCTTGTGTAAACACCAGGAAAATTTGGTCTTCCACATCCATGGCCCCAGCTAACAATGCCAGTCAAAATCCATTTTCCATCACTTTTTCTTCGACAAGATAAAGGTCCACCTGAATCTCCCTACACAGAAAGAGAACATAAATATGAAGTACATCTGTCCCATGATCATCAATTTAATCATAAATGTTGTCTATTGGACTATGTTCAAAAGTCCCAGTCTGACATGTTTTTGCATGGCTAATCTCTATGCAGTTTGAGAAGTGTCGAGAAATAATGTGAAACTTCTAATGTCATTTTAGAATTATTTTTTTATAATCACAAATCTGCATTCAAGAAACTTGATTCTTTAGGCAAAAGATAAAATTAGAGAATTTTTGCAAAAGAAAACAACTCTTAAATACCCCTTAATAAAGAATAAACCTCAGTGGTGGCAGCAGTGCCATTACTTGGGCTAGTACTACTAATAGTAAGGGCTAATGTTTATTTCGTGTTAGATACGTCCTCAGTGCTGTCTAGGGTGATTTAATCCTTACAACCACCTTACAAGGCATAAATTCTCTACGAAAGTTGATGTCTATCTCTGGGCCATGTAACTTCAGTGGGTGACTCGAGATCCCCAGGGAGAAAAGGAAAGGAGACCCTGTTTTGTTAGCCTTGCTCAAGGAAGCAACAACCCTAACCACCATGGCCAGCAGTTGCTACAGACAAATCAACCTCACTGGAGAGTCCCTTCTGATATCTCAATTCCACAAAGCGAAGGCTCAAATAATTCAAAGTTTAAACATAATTTCTACAGCTTCAATCCTTTAAATTATAATGTCTGGTTTTATTTTCCTAGTTTGAGGTATAGGCAAAGTGGCAACTTACTCAGTATCAAAGATAGGAAAGCCATCCCAATTTGTCCTTGTTTCCCACTTGCACAATTTTACACCTGATTATGTAAATTCTTGCATGAAAACAGGGGTCTTTTATTTAATTGCTACCATACCAACTCTACCAACATTAAATCTAATCTAATGCATTAATCCTGATGGCCATGTGTAGCAGGGCTATGTAACCAATGAGCTGCAAGAAGCATAGGAGCTATAGCATCAGAAGGCAAGGGTTCAAATCCCAGCTCAAACCTTTCCAGTTCCTACTTGTAAGACCTTGGTTAATTTACTAACCCTCTCTGTGCCCAGTTTTTTATAAAATGAGGATAAAAGAATGATTTGAATGAATTTACCTAAAGGACTTACCACAGTGGTTGCCACAAAATGGGAGGTCAAACGATGGATAAAATGAGTTTTATGGCATTGTGGCTGAGACTGTGGAAAGATGTGACAACAGCTCTCCCATCCTCCTCATTCTCTAAACCATCTGTGTACCATTGGGCAATTCCCATTCTCTGTAGATTAGACTCTCAGGCTTAGAGAATTGTCCCCCAGAAGGTAACTGCCAACTTTACTACTGTCAGGGAACCTAGCTGGAGGCCTGCACACACGTGCAGTCTACCACCTCTTCCATTCCACTCTTCCCTCTCCCCGCCTGTGCTTAAAAGAGTAAGTAAATCAAACCCTGTGCTTTCAGAAGTTAAATGGCTGCTGCTAAGGAGATAGGTGACACCCCTGAAACATGGTGGACGTGTGTGTTTCCTTGTATTGCTGCGCTTTCTACTTTGGGGGTAGAAGAAAATGATGGCAGAATGAGAATGGAGGGTGAATGCTGACCTCATTCTCTAAAATTTAGAGAAAAATACCTCAGGGATAGAGAACTGAATTCTATAGAACCAGTTCTTTGAACACTTCTCGATCTTAGGCAACTGGATTGTAATTAGTATGAGAAACTCAGGTAAGTTAAGGGGAATACCTGCCCTAGATACTTCCCTGTGTTACTCAGATGAAACAGCAAAGCACTGATGGAAAGCGCAGGTTGTTGGGCAAGGGAAAGGTATGAGGACTTACTTTGCAGGCATCTCTCTTGCCTGATATTACACCTGCACACAGCATCCGTGAAGTGATGATCCCATAGGTGGAGACACAGAGGGTTTGATCAATGAGCTCCACCTCTGCTTGCTGCAGGACAGGGGAGCCTTTATTATCTGGAAAGGGCATCAGAGGGAGAAATGCTGATAGTGGTAATACTCAGTCAGAGCTTCTTCTGAACAATTAACTCGCATTATCCCCTTTTATTCTCATAACAATTCTTTGAGGTAAATTCTACTATGATCCCCATTTTGCTGATGAAAAAGTGGAGGCTTAGATTAAAATCTTGCCCAGGGCCAGGCACAGAGGATCACACCTGTAATCTCAGCACTCTGGGAGGCCCAGGTGGGTGGATTGCTCGAGTTCAAGAGTTTAAGACCAGCCTGAGCAAGAGTGAGACCCTGTCTCTAAAAAAATTACTCAGGCATTGTGGCCGGTGCCTGTAGTTCCAGCTCTCGGGAGGGTGAAGCAAGAGAATAAATAGCTTGAGCCCAGGAGTTTGAGGTTGCTGTGAGCTGTGACACCTATGGCACTCTACTGAGAGAGTGTGACAAAGTAAGACTCTGTCTCAAAGAAAGAAAAATCTCGCCCAATGGCACATAGTTAGCAAGTGACACTAGAATTCAAACCCAAGGAATGACTCAATCACTTCAGCCATGTCCTTCTGTCCTCTGGGAGGAGCCTGTCCCTCTCCTCACCATGTCCTTCTTGCTTTCTGTAGGGTGGTGAGTCAGCACCTACAGCAATCATTTCTACAAATATTTGCCACTCAGGAGGCTTCTTAAATGGAACCACATAACTGATACCTGGGAGGCTCCAAGAAACCATAAAAACTTACCAGTTTGGATATAGACCTTTCACTTTCTTCCCAACCCGTCTGTCTGAGATGATTCAGAAAAATAAACACACAAACACACACATTCATGATACGCCTCTGATGAGTTGGCTGGGTAGACACTTTCCTCTTGTGATTATCTGACAATTTAATTAAGGCACTGAGCACAGCAACCTATTAAGGTTATAAGTGTTCAGACAGTAAGCTGCCTTCCCTCGCTGGGACCCTGAGGCCTCAGCGGGCCCAAACTGGAGATGAGTGTTATTACCTCGACAGCTAAATGGCAGAAGCGAGCATTCGCCCACAGTGCATCCTTAGGGAATGGCAAAGAGAGGCTGCAGGTGCATGAGTTACAGACAATATATCTGCCCTAAACCCTTGGAAAGGACTGCAAAGGCATCTGAGGTGCCTGGACGAGCAAGAGAAAGTATTAGCACTAACCCTTGGGAAGAGGTTGGCAAAACTTTGGATTTGTCCCCTCACTGTATATTCAGAATCATCCATGAATCCTGGACTGTGGAAACCCTGGGCAGGACAGCTGTAGGGGTTCCCTACTATCCAGCCGATGGTGCATATTGAAAAAGATGTTCCCTCTGGGTGGAGGAGTTGCAAAAAGTCATCCCCTTTGGGTGGACCGATTCTAGGCTGGTGTAACCTTCAGGCCTGAATTTGTAGTCTAGGGAAGTAAGGGAAGCCTAGAGTTCAGCTTGCTCTCCTACCCTAAGGCCAGTTGCCCCGGTGCCAGATGTACACACATGATCTCACAGACAGTTGTCCATGAGCTGACGCAATGGGATGTGCATGTCTGTGCCCTCTCTTTCATAAAAATGAATCACCTGGGATAAAGGGGAACCAAAAATAAGGAGAAAAATTGTTCCTCTCTAAGGGCAAACCTGGCAAACCCTTCAGAGTTTGAAAGAGGCCTGTACCATCTAGTTGGTCCTGCCTGGCGCATACATCCTCCTGGGGCAGCTAGAGAGCATCGTCAAGCAGGAATAATAATACACTTGTCCTATCCAACCTTTCAGAGCTGTCAGGAGGCCTGAAGAGATGACATATACAAACCCTCTCCATGGAGCACTACATCAACACAAATTAGCATCCTCTGCTGTTAAGGACATGACTGTTCCTTCCCGCACACACACCTGCTTCATGCCTTCGCCCCCAGCCAGTGACCCAGCACTTCTCCCCACTGTGCACTTTCTGGCCAGCAGGAGGGATGCATATTGGCTGAATGAGCTGTTTCAGGGCCTCGGGCCAGGCGACACTGAGCTGCAGCAGAGCAATGTCATAGTCAAAGGTCTGACTGTTATAGTACTCGTGGACCACAATTCTTCTCACTGGGGAGACAAACTTGGCATTTCCCTGCACATGCATCCCGAGGTGGGCAGTCCATGGGGTGGGGTCTGACAGCCTGGTAGAAAAGGAATGAAGCAAAAAAATGGTACCTTGAAGAACCACATGGGTTTTGAAAGCAAGCACTCGAAAGAGAGGTGAAGGCCTGGCTTTCAATGCCTCGTCACAGCTACTGGCTCTGGGTTCAGAGATGTGGCAAGAAACACAATTCTGAGCCTCTTGTCTCCTTAGTAAAACCAGAGATGAAATAGGCTTTGGTGGGGTGGTAAGGTATAGCTATGTTCCAGAAAACTCCCTCAACAATATCCTAAGGAAATGCTTGAAAATGTTCTGGCTGTTCGTATTTCATGAACCACACCTAGGATAAGAATGTCGGTAACCAGAATTAGTTACATTCTTCCTATTCATGCTGAAAATGGTGTTTGATGGAGACAGATGAGACTAGGAAGGTGAGACTCTGGGGACCCTACTACGACTTGGTTTGAAGACCAGGACAGATTAGAAATCAAAATGTTACAAGAATAAATTTAATGAAACTCCTTAAGAACAACTAGAAGCTTTAGAGGTCACTACTCTGATTGCTCAAGTGTGACAAATTCACAGGGCACCAGTACACCCTCCCCGGTCAGAATCCTAATCTTGAACTCATGGCCTTGCTCAAGTCAGTCCTGCAGTCTCCACGTGAGGCTTCCATTTCCACCAGCATAGCAGTGGGGCTGAAGAGAAAGTGGAAGGAAGCACACGGAGTGTTGTCTCTCAGCTCCTTGGCTGATGTCTCAGTAGTGACACTGGAGACCCAAAGGAATATTAAGGTTAACATTATTTGGAGCAGCTTCACAGCGTAAAAGAATAGTGATCAAACAGATGTGAGGCTATTTTAGTAACTAACATAAATCATATAACTTCCAGAAGAAGCAAATACCAAAATCGTATAATTTCGTTGAAATACTCCATTGAGAAAATTCAGGAGAAATGAATAACATCTTCTACCTATGATCTAGTCCCAAATAGGCTTAAATTTCAAGTGAGTTTATTTTCTAAGCTTTCTTTGCACTCTTAGCTGGAAAAGCATCCGTCCCATAATAATTCCATGGGTAAAGACAGAAGAGCCTTTCCATAGCCGGTCCTAAAGGACCCTACCAGGATTTGTTTCCTAATTTAAAAAGGGTTCCCCATACTCCAGTTGTTTTCCAAAGCCTGTTCTTCTCTGTATTCTCTGCACATTCTCATAGGTTTGCTCCCTCTGACGTGAAAGCTCTGTCTTATTTTCTCTTAAAAGCCTATTTATTCTTACAATTTCCCTTGGTGTTTTTTCCCCTTATATAAATAATACCTATAAAAACGTTTTGCACACAATTGGTACCCCCCAATTGAATTGATTGAACATCTCCCAACAGGGAGCTTCTTCCCACAATTGGAGGGCAGAGGTATGGTCTGTGGTCAGAGAGTGAGGATTGGGATGTCCTACCTGTTTCCATGGAAACAGTGGGCTGCAGAAAGAAGCCACTCCCTGGAGATGACGGAGGCTCCGCAGTAGGCAGATCCAACAAAGTGGAGGCTGACTTGCCACGGCCAAGCCCCCTCCAGGGTGTCTGTGCCCCCTACGATGCGGTGAAGGCTAGAGGAACTCCTGCTGCAGCCTTTAGTAGGGGAAGGCACACATGATTTGAGGGGAGACATGGAAGACAAACTGGAAATTATGAATGGATTAATAAACTGTGGTATATTCTACCATGGAATACTGTACAGCCATAAAAAGATAGAGACTTTGCATCTTCTGTATTTACCTGGATGGAGTTGAAACACATTCTTCTTAGTACAGTATCACAAGAATGGAAATGCAAGTATCCAGTGTACTCAATACTAATATGAAACCAATAGAAAAACAACCACACACCCATAAGGGAGAAAAACGCAAGTAAGTTCAACTGGGGGCAGGAGGGAGAGAAACTGGTGAGCTGGGACCTGATGAGCACAGTGTGAGTGTGTACAGCACATATGGATGAAGCCCCCTGGATGAAGGGCTTGAACTTGAACTTTACCTTAGAAACACTAACAATATAACCTAATCATTTGTACCCTCATATTAATCTGAGCTTTTTTAAAAAATTAAATTACATGGGCGGCGCCTGTATCTCAAAAGGGGAGGCCGCTGGCCCCATATGATGGAGGTGGCGGGTTCAAACCCAGACCCAGCCAAAAACTGCAAAAAAAAAAAAAAAAATTAAATTACAAAATAAAATAAGAAAAACTGGAAATTAAGTCAGGTTTTGTGCTGGCTGGGAACAGACTCATCATGTAAGCAGTTTGAAATTTTCCACTTATCTAAAAGAGAGAGAATATGTGTGCCCGTCTGAAACCAGGCCCTATAAACCATCTTCTCCTTCCTGAAGAGCCCCAAGGCAGAGCCCCTTCATACAATAATCATGTGAGAGGAGGATGAGACTTGTAGTAACAGCTGGAATAATATAAGCAGCAGCCTGTGGAGTGAGTTGTTAGGTAGAGAGGAAACTCTATGTTCCATATATAACAGAATTGAGACTCTGTTTGAAGTTACACTGATGTAAAAGAAAGAATTTGGGAGAGATTTTGTAAGTCCAAGACAAATAAAAACCTACTAAGAAAAACCAGTTATCAGAACAATTATTTTGAGTGTAAATAGCATTGGGAAAGAGGTCTGATTAACATGTTGCCACATGGCCAATTAGAGGCCACGTGACCAGTAAGAATATTTGGCATATTAGTTATTGGTACTGTGACTTAGCTAAAGAAAGAACTGGCACTAGATACTGTTCGTAACATAAGGCATTGTTAACAAAGTCATCCACTGTGTTCCAGCATCTATTTCTTTTCTCATGAGCTTTTTATTTAAGAGCTCCCTTGACCAGGGAGCTCTTTGATTTATTAGCAAATGAATGTTCTCATTATAAAAATCTTGCGCATTGATGCTATTATCAAGAAGACAGAATCCACTCTGGAGTTTTTATGCCTGAGAAACAATTTCAGGCTCATGCAACAGTATTTTACTATTCTCCCTTGGGCCTGGGGCAACCTCTGCCAGGGGAATTACACTAAGAAAGGAAGGAAAATGGAAAAACAGATACACTGAAGAGGGAATACAGAAATCAGAAGGAATGAATTTCTACTCACTGCAGCCTTCTTCATCACTTCTGTCCGGGCAATCCACTGTCCCATCACATTTTGCATTTTGTTTCCTAAAGCAGACATCATTGCCACACTTAAAAGTTCTGTTGCTGCATGGAATACCTAACATGAACAAAAGAAGAAACAGCTTTTCCTAGCCAGAGACAGAACTGGGTGAACGACAGAGAACCCTGCAAAGGATGGTTTAACCACAGGAGGGGCTTTGATGCTCTAGGGAAAATGGCAGGGAGAAATGAAGCACCAGGGTGAACTGTTCCCTCGCTCAAGCAGAACCATTTGATGGGAGGCAGGCACACGTGTTGAGAATGAATCTAAGCATCTGAGCTGCAAAGGAGCCGGCCACGTCAGTGGCTTCAGGCTGTGGCATTTTTCCTATTACCTTATCTTATTCTCCAGAAAGTTTGTGAGCAAAAATCACTGTGGAACTCAGTCTTTTATTTGTGAATGATAGCACATTTGTTCACAACCAGTGGGAGATCTGTGTTTCTGTGGGGGTGAGGAAAGAACATGTCCCATCACAATATCTGGCAAATTTCTTTATATCAGGTCCTCAGTATCCTACAATCTTGAGCAGCCTTAAAAGCAAGTAAGCAATGAAAATCTTACAATGTCAGTATACACATTTGAACACACACACATGCACACACATACTTCATCCCATTTACAATGACCAACTTTACCAATTTGTCTGGGACTAAAGGGGCTCCCAAGACAAGGGACTTTATGTATTAAAACTATGAAAGTTCCAGGAAGGGGGGAGGAGGCAAGTTGCCCCAAGCCAGCAGAGGTGTTTTCATTCTGATGTAAAAGAGTTTTATAGGAAGAAGGGCAGAGGGCATAGGAGCCTTCCTACTTTGAGTGCAGTTCTGCTCATCCTGGCCATTCTCGCAGTCCCTGAAGCCATCGCAGACCAGAGGGCCATGCTGTCTGAAGGAGCTAGCATTGCAGGCAGGCTTTGGGCTCACTGGAATGAGAAAAGAAAGCTCAGGAGCCTGAGAAAACAGCTGGGTTCTCTGATGACCAGAAGAGCCTGTTAAAGGTACAAATCATCCAGTTGACTTAAATAAAATAAAAGGCATATTCCTCAAAACTGGCAGTTCCACAAGGAAAAGCAGATGTTTAAACTTTGGGGTAGTTCCTACCACTCAAGTTTGTCAGGTATGATTTTTGCTTCTGTGTAAATGTGTTAAATTCTAGTGGCTTATTTAATTACAATCAAATGTATCGTAAGTAATTCATTTTAAAGAAAATAAAAATAATAAGCTGTTATCTAAACTGAACTTGTCAACCTTCCAAACAAAGTGGTAGTACCCTGAAACTGAGGATTTTTTCCTATTCATATATGTACCTCAAGCCCCTGACCAAAATAGCAGTGCCTTACTAAACGTTTATTGTATGAATTAATGAATGTGACATCTCAGAGGACAACAGGCTTGGGGTCTGTGTGTAAAGAAAACTCTCTTTAAAACTGTTTTATCTTGAGATATCCATTCCCTAAATTAGGACATACCAGTGTATACCTATCATATTATTCTCTGGACTATTTTCATGAATTGCCTTTAGATCAATGATAAGCATGATATATTAGTAACCACATTTAGAAAGTATGATTCCTTAGACATTTTGGACATTTCTGGGTTTGTGAAAAGTTATTAGTTTTGTTATCTACTCCTTTTTTTTTGCGGTTTTTTTTTTTTTTTTGGCGGGAGCTGAGTTTGAACCCGCCCACCTCTTGTATATGGGGCTGGCACCCAACTCCTTGAGCCACAGGCACCACCTTTGTTAACTACTTCTGTTTTGACTGTGGTATCTCTTGTGAGGAGCAGAAGGTAGGAAAATTGGTGCCCTGAAATAGTTCATTAAACCTCTGAACATGCTTAAGTGACTCCCAAAGAACAGTTCCCAAAAAATGGCATGAGAAACGATTATCAAAACAGTTCTTGGCTCGGCGCCTGTGGCTCAAGTGGCTAAGGTGCCAGCCATATACACCCAAGGTGGTGGATTCGAATCCAGCCCGGACCCACCAAACAACAATGACGGGTGCAACCAAAAAACAGCCGGGCATTGTGGCGGGCACCTGTGGTCCCAGCTACTTGGGAGACTGAGGCAGGAGACTCGCTTGAGCCCAGGAGTTGCAGGTTGCTGTGAGCTGTGAAGCCACAGCACTCTACCCAGGGGGATAACTTGAGGCTCTGTCTCAAAAAAAAAAAAAAAAAAAAAAAACAGTTCTTATTCTAAAATAACACTAATTATTTTTGTTTGGAGCATCGTAGCAGAGAATAATAATGTAAAAAAACAAAACTTCAGTCACTATATAATGGTATTTATTTTCTTAATAAATAGAAGATCCCATAGATGTAAATGGTCAATGAACCATAAGTACAAGGGGACTTTTTGTTTTGTATAGTCAATAAAAAAAAGAAGGTACAGGGTCACAGGTCATTTTTCATGAGTACTTTTTTTTTTTTTTGCAATTAGTATGCTTAACTGTTATTGTATGTTTATTGTAATATTTATTCGAGGATATGGAAAAGATTAAAAAGTATCACCATCATACTAGTGCTTGAATTAAATAAATACTTTGGACCTTTAGGAGAAAATATTGCCAGCAGTGTCACATCGTCCAGTGATTTGTCCTTCCCATATGGCTCCTGAAAACTGGATATAAATTCGGGAAGGTGGCTCAAATAGTTATGAAAAACCAAGACAGAGATTTTCTACTCAAAGTCATTACTGATGTGATGCCAATGCAAACCGTACAGGGTTTTTGTTTGTTTGTTTTTTTGCAGTTTTGGCGGGGGCCAGGTTTGAACCTGCCACCCCCAGTATATGGGGCCGGTGCCCTACTCCTTGAGCCACAGGTGCCGCCCTGCACAGGTTTTTTTAAAGCAACAAAACTTTCTCTTTTATGTATTTACAGACAACAGTGGCGTTCCATAAGTGAGCATGCTAAAAGAGTTTATTTCTGAACTTTTCTTTAGATGGAGGATAAGTGCTTTCAAAGACAATTGTTGTGTTGAAGATTGTGGTAGACAAAGTTATTGGCCACTGGTCTGCACTCCCTGTGGCAGAATATGTACCCCACCCTTGCCAAGGCCGTAAGGTGAGCAAAGTAATTGTCCCTGTACATTGATTTTGCTGTGTAGCTTGCTTTGACCCATGGAATGTGACACAGCTGGTGTGTCAGTTCCAAACACAGGCCGTACATAAGAGGAGTCACATGGTTGCGCTCGCCTCTCCTTGGGGCGAGCCTAGTGCACTGGCTCAGTGAGGAGAGGAGCCATGAAGGGGAGACCTAATCCCAACCTGGGATGACCCAGCCAAACACAACCCAATACTTGAAGCAGAGCCACCCATATTAGCCCAGCCTACCTCAGTCATATCCCAGACAACCCACGGATGCATGATCCAGGGTAAATGACTGTTGGACAGTGGATTACGAGGTGATAGATGACAACTACCAAACCCAAGGAAACACATCAGCAGCGGCAATGGCCCTGAGAAGTTACTTATTCATCAGAACGTCATATAAAAAGCTCAGATACCCACCACAGAAAAGTTCATCACTCTCATCAAAGCAGTCATTTACGCCATCACAGCGCTGGGCCTGAGGGACACACAAACCGGAGGAGCATCTGAAAGATCCAACAGGGCAGGCTACAGGCAATACAAAATAGAAAACCTTGGGTGGGCCCCTGAAAATGGCCAGACCACGCTAGCAAAGAAATACAAAGTATCAAGTGGAAGGGAGTGGAAAGGGTAGCAGTAGGGATACAGGGGTTCTCAACTTGTGGGTCATGACCCACAGGACTTATATTAAAGGGCCGTGGCATTAGGAAGGTTGAGAACCACTGAATAACATCAAATCATGGTTGTTGGAATTCAAAGACAAAATGCAGAAATAAGAAGAAGTAATCCTCCAGAAGCTCCAAGTGAACCTGCATCCAGGTCATGTGCACAAGAAAATGTCCTCTAACTTCATAGCCTTGACTCAGCGAGATGGCTTTATCATATACCTCAGGAATGTGAAAGTGGCAAGGTACTGAACAGAGTCCAGCATTCCTAATGTAGAGTCTTTAGACTCTCCCTGGAATTATAAATGGACTTCTGGCATCTGAGTGCTCTGTGATCACATGCGTTATTCTGTATATCTTTAATTGCTTTTGCAAGTGGTTTCTGTCCCAAAACAGATTGGTAACCACTGATCTTATCACCTTGGACCTAGAGAGATTAGTGACTGGCCTAACAATCTCAGACTCTCGGCTAATACCTCCCTGCCCATCATTCTTTCCACTTTAGCCAAGGTGCTCGACAGTGATCCACTCTCCTCCTGATCTTGAATCACTAATTCTGAGATTATTGCTAAATAGTAGAGAAATCCTTTCTCTCTTTGTGCAAAAACAGTGCAGGAGAATGCAGAGTCAGGCCAAACTCTCATACAGTAGAGTGGATGAGCCTCTGGAAAATAGTCAGGGTTTAGAAGAAAGTTAAAAATAAGATGGCTTACTTACTTACCTGTGTCTCTGCTGGAAACGAATATTTTGAAATTCAGGGGTAATATTCTGAATCCAGAAGAAGATGTTTGGGGGACTGGCAAAGAAGGACATGATCTGAAAGGAGCTCAAGTCATGTCTTCATGAACTCCTCAGTGCATAACCTTTACTTGGGCCATGTTAAAGTGGGTCGAGGATTTCCTAAGCAGGTTACTATCTACACTGCCCAGCTCTAACGACTTCCCTCAAACATTAGCATTTCTGTTAGTCACTTCCTGACCATTCTTCCAGCATTTTTCCCTGTGAGCTTCAAGTTCAACATTCTGAGGGCTGATATTTGAACTCGCTCCACCAACAAACTCACTCTATCCAACACAGGCCACAGTGAGTCATAACTGTTGACCTCAGATCCACTGTATGTGAGCATCTTACTCACAGAGAATCATGGCAAGATCACAGCACACCAAAAAATGGCGCTCATCTTATATTTTAGGAATGACATGAGAAATTATTTTTCAAATGAGAAATTATTTTTCAACTATAAATAAGTCATAGAAAAAAGTTATTATTTCTCCTATAACTTAAAATAGAGAAAGAATATGTAATTTTATACAATATTTGTTATCTTTATTGTATATGCATGTACTATGTATATATATTATAAAATACACATATATATAAAGAAATAGCACAAATAAAGCAGGTTCACTTGTTAAATTTTCAAAGTTTAGAGAAAGCATTAGCCTCCATTTAACTATTTATTAAGGTTTTTCTAAGACTTACGTTGACTGATGTTGTAACTGCCATATTCTACCAAAAGCGGCTTGTCCGAAAGCCTTGAACTGCACTGGAGCTGAACGTGAACCAGAGGGCTGGGCACTCGGAAAATGGTCTGGTGATCCATGTAGGAACCACAGTACCTGAGAAGACAAGAGTGTGAGAGGACCCACAGTTTGACGTTATGTCAACTGCATTCCTATGGACAGTGAGTTCACTAAGACTTTGTTCATTTGGGTTTTGTAGGCAGAGATGCTCACGGTAGAGTTAATGGTATTCTATACGTGACTGTGATCAAGCAACTTTCGCCCCCTCGATTTTCTACTCTGCTAGATAGAACAATAATAGTACTATCCGCCTGTTACTTGTCTCACCATCACTTATGAGCAGAAGAAACATGTATCAGATTCTCCCAATCCTCTCTCCTTTTCCAGTGTAAAAACTGTGTAACCCAGCCTGAACAACATGGCAAGACCCTGTTTCTATAAAATAGTAAAAAATTATCAGAGCATGGTGGTGCGTGCCTATAGTCCCAGGTACTTGGGAGGCTGAGGCAGGAAAGATTACTTGAGCTCTGGAATTTGAGATTACAGTGAGCTAGGATCACACCACTGTATCCACCCTGGGCAACATAGTGTCATCCCCTCTCAAAAAAAACCCAGAAAAACCTGTTTGACAACAAGAACTGCCTGCTTTTGCCTGCTTTTGTTCACAAGCCTCTTTATGGACTCAAATCTATATCCCTGAGCTTAGGTTGAAAATATGTAAGGAATTCCAGCAACACTTAAAGCAAAAGACATTTTTCCAAATTACATGGAAATTCGATGTGTACTTCAGGATTTGTCCCCGGAAAGGTCCAAAGAATTAATGTCTATCTACAATATTTTCCTATTTCAATTTTTTTCTTACCTCTCATTACTTAGTGTGCTCCAGGTCCCTAGTGTCCTTTTGAAAAAATATCATTCCTGTTACTTCTGTTAATAATTATTACTATAAGGCCAGGTACAGTGGCTCACACCTGTAATCCTAGAACTTTGGGAGGCCAAGGCAGTCAGATTGCCTGAGCCCATGAGTTCGAGACCAGCCTGAACAAGAGAGAGACCCCGTCTCTAAAAATAGCTGGGTATTGTAGCGGGCTCCTGTAGTCTCATCTACTTGGGAGACTGAGGCAAGAGAATCACTTAGTAGAGGTTGCTGTGAGCTATAACATCACTCTACAGAGGGCAACAAAGTGAGACTCTGTCTCAAAAAAAAAAAAAGAAATTATTACTACATTAGCACCATGTGGAGCACAGAATATTATTATATTACAGGCCTGTGATAAATTAGGCCACTGCCCTGTGTAGGCAAGGCTCTTCCCATGGTGAAATATGCAGGGTTTGTTTTTCTAATTTTTTCTCAAAGATAGGGTCTCACCATGTTGCCCAGGCTTGTCTCAAACTCTGAGACACTCTCCCCTCGGCCTTCCAAAGCACTAGGACTGTAGGTGTGAGCCCCTGCGGTCAGCCCAAACCTACAAGGTCTTGATGGGAGGTAGAGAGCAGACACACGCTTGGGGTTGACATTCGCCCCTGGAACCTGTTAATGCCAATCACTCCAGGCTCCCGAAGCACTTGGGAACCGTCATGTTCCATGGATCAGGTGGGGGCATCTGGGAACAAGGATTATCTATGATTTTAAGGCTTGGAGAAGAAAAATATTTCCCGAAGAATCTTTCACAATTGGCTGAAATTCAGGAACTAAGGAGCTAAAAGCCAAGGAAGAGATAGCAGCTGCAAGTGGCTGGCTGGCCAAGCAGGAGCAGGGTGTGAGAGGCTGCTGAAAATTCCAAGCTGAATTTTTGGAGCCAGAGTTTACTCTAGGTGGTTAACTTTAGCTAAGAATGGGGCTCTAAAAACATGATAATTACGTTATGTCATGATATATTATGATTTTCTTCATTGTCGCCATTAACATTTTGTGGAGTTCTCCTGCATTGTAAGAGAGAATCAAGAGAAAAGAGATCTTTGCTTTCATGCTTCAGCTGGAGTTTAGATGGGGAGAGAATGCAACAAGGCATGATTGGCTTATAGAGGGAACATTTAAAAAATGAGGGATTGGAGATATAGCAGGAGCCAACGCAGACAAAAAGACTCCCAGGCACCAGTTGGAAGAGGAAGTGGATTTATGCGCTGGCCGGGAGATTTGGCAGACTAGTATCCCCAAAACCAAGCCCATCGACTCAATTTCTGGCCTTCTTTTTATAGATTTTTAGGGGCTGGATGCACATGAAAATCTCGTGCTTCAGGGAAGGTCAGGCTGGCACATGCCTTTGGTGCATGGCTACCCAGCCTCAAAGACAACAGAAGGTCAAGGAAGTTACAAGGTTACTCCATGGGTTCAACATGCATCCTCTGAAGGGCAGATAAATACCAGGACCATCTGCTGCAGTGGGGTTTGTAATTAGTAGCTTCGTACTTATCACAGAGACTGCCTTGGCTAATGCCTGCACAGAGTGACTGGGGCAGAGTCTAGTTCTGCTTCACTCCCTTGCCTCATGGACACTCAGTGACAGTCCATTTATATGTACAGACATACCACAAGTAAGGAAACTGAGATATAAAGAAGAGAAGTAACTTTAAAGTTAAAAAAGCCAGTAAGTAGAACCAGCCTCTGGATACCTGTTGGCCTGATACTAAACTCCAGCGTACCAAAAGCCTTCCCCTCAGGAGCTTAGTGCTACAAAAGCTTTGTAGGAAGGCCATCTATTTCTTCCACGGTCACATACTAACTACTTTCCAGCTGCCCTGAGCATGGGCACCCCTTCCCCAGGCTCTCAGAACTACTAACGAGGAGACCATTAGTCTCCCTGCAGTCAGCAGTACTTTTTCCTCCCTCCCTATTACAGTCCCAATTCCCTTAGGGTAACCTCTCAATTAGCTCAATTAGAGTCTTTCCTTTGTAGATGAAACAGCTTGATAATGGGAAGGATTGGCATTTTAAATCCTGAGGGTGCAACCAGAATCTGATAGGATTTCAGCCAGACCACAAGACTACTTGAGGAAACTGGCCCTTTAGGGAAAATATTTGGATCAGGGAGCTTTCCTGGTCTGAACTGGGAGAAGACCCTACTTTTACTTCTGCAGTAGCAAACACAGCCTGGGTAGTGAAGGTATGATGTGGGATTAAAACAATACCTTGTTTCCAAAGCACACTTGTCACAGACTAACATTTTCAGGAAAGATTTATAAAGGTAGGTTGTTTGGATCTTTGTTTTCATTAAATACCAAAATCCAATATTATTTAAACCTTAGAGCACATTCTATGATATTGATTTATTCAATGTCATTTTGACAATAACTTTATTATTCATATTAATAATAGCTAATTTTAGGGGTGTATAACTACATTATTTCATGGAGTGCTTACCAAATAAACAAACCCCTTATTAAGTAGGAAACATTACCTCATTTCATAGACTGAACATCAAAGAAGTAAAATAATTTATCCTAGTTAATATAGCTACTAAATGACAAGGCTGGAATTTGAACATAGGTCTTGGGATTCCTACATAACACACCCTCAATTCAATTTTAACTCCCCAAAGTAGTATAATCTTAACATTTTAATAATGGGTCTGAGAATACCTTTAAAGCTGATTGGGCCTATTCCAATGAAGAGGGGATCAATTATTATTTTGCAAGTAGACTGTATAAAGGAACTGAAAGGAGTTTGCTCAGGAAAAGCACTTAGAAAGGGAAGATTCCACATACAGAATAACAATGACCAAAGAAGGAGCAGGTAAATCCTTCAGCCTAACAGGATTCTTCTCTGAAAGGAAACTGAGAAGTTATTCTATTTGCTTCAAGTCAGAGCATTCCATGTTTTTAAATACCTATTCAATACCTAGTACACCTTTAGAAGTAAATAAACAACCAAAGGACAAATTAAGACTGAGAGTGAGGACCTCCTGGGTTGATTCAGGAAGTGCACACACCTAGATTTCTCTGGGTTTCTTTCTGATCAGCTTCAGCCCATTTCCCCGCGTCAGGGATTAAGTCAAGCCAATCAGGACTGTTTTGAGACCTCACAAAAATGGGGAATGGTCTCTACTTTTGTACCAGCAGAACCCCGATTTATTATTCCCCCTCCCCCCGGCTCTAAGATTTGATAATGCTATCTGTGATGTCACAGATACTATACTTTGGTGAAGTATAGACTATATGCACTGGTAGGCCACAGCCTAGCACAGTAGAAGGGGGCAGGAGCCCTAACACATAGGGTTGAATCCTGCCTCAGTCTTTCATTGAGTGGTCTTGAGCAAGTCACTTAACTCCTATATCCCTCAGTTTCCCTATCCATAAAAGGCAAAGTGCAACCTCTTGCACAGACCCATGGCTGTGAACCTTTTGTCAGATTCCTCACATAGGGAAATCACTTACATGTGCTCATTAATCTCCCACCATCCATGCTCACAGCCTTTCTCGCTCTTCTTGGTTATTGAATAGTTATGGAATTTCAGAGCTATGCCAAGACTTGATAGGGAAGTCTGTGAAAAGCAAATATTAAGTTTAAAAAAATGCTTCAATCAAAATGCATGTTTCAAGTGAAAATTTCCTCATTGAGTACTCATTCCCTTGGCTTGTTTTAAGAGTATTCTACTCCTGGTGCCCTGTGGCCATTGGTGGGGTAAGCCTGTTCCCCTGAACAAAGCTGGCCAATGTAGAGAGGTTAACAGAGAAGCCAGCAGCAGGGACTCAGGAGTAGCTGCTGGGCTCCAGGTAAAGCTGGGTGATGGGGTACACATCCTGGGTTTCAGCTGATTAATGAGTAAGCGTTTTCCTCTTTTGATGTAAATAATGACACGGGTTTATTTAAATCATCATTCAGATTCCTGAGATAAAGGAGAAATGAATCAGCATCCTCTTCATGTTAAACCTGAGTGTTTCTGAAGGCTCTGTGAGTCACCCCAGGTGTTGTCAGAAGCAGCCAAACAAGAAAGAGCTGCCAATGTATTTGATCAAACATGCACATGCACACGCATATACACGCATACACGCATACACACAGTGCAAGTGATCTTTTCATTGCACTATGTGACATGCACATACATTCTGTCCAGTATGTTAGAGTTTTCATTTTGATCTTCACTTTAACCCAAGAAATATTTAAGAGAGGATTTTTATATTGAGAGAGTTGAATTTTGGTTCACCCATTTTCAAGTTTTTTAATTCTATCTTAATTGAATAAAAAATTATTGGTTACACTTGCTTTTAAGTTTAGAATTTATGGAGAATTTCTTTGTGATCAAATTTATGAAATCTCCATAGTCATTGGAGGAAAAAGGAGTATTCTCTGCATGTATATGCTGCCAAAGTCATTTGATCCTACCTCGCCTTATTTATTGTCCTCTACTATCTCAACCATGAGGTAGAAGAAGAGAATTAAAATCTCTTATTTGAGGCATAGTGGCTCATACTAGCATTCTGAGAGGCTGAGGGATGTGGAGCCCTTGATCTCAGGAATTCAAAAGCAGCCTAAGAACAAGACCCCATCTCTACCAGAAACAGGAAAAAAATAGCTGGGAGTTGTGGCAGGCATCTATAGTCCCAGCTATTTGGGAAGCTGAGGCAGAAGGATCACTTGAACCCTAGCTGTGAGCTAGGCTGACACCACAGCACTCTAGCCTAGGCAATAGAGTGATACTCTCTCTTAAATAAATAAATGAATAAATAAATAAATAAATCTCTTATTTGACTACTTGGGAGGCTGAGGCAAGAGGATTACTTGAGTTCAGGAGTTCAAGGCCCACCTGGGAAACAGAGAGAGAGTGCTATCTCAAAAAACAAACAAACAAAAACTTTTTATTTGAATATTGCCCACTTCTTTGTATTTCTTATAAGTTTTGATTTTTGAATGTTAAAGAAGTATTAAAGCTGTGTCCTAATTAGATCTTGTAGACCACCCTCTTTGTCACTACAGGTTGCCCTTCTCCTCTGGCTTCCCAGTCGGGGATGCTGTTGCCCTGCTCTCTGTGGTGCCTGGTGGAGGGCTGTGAACTCTGCTTCTGGTTGTTTATACTGGCCATGAATGATGTTGCTCATTCTCATTGTTCAGCTTTTCTGAGTCACTATTCAGTTCACTTTTGTCTGTTGAAAATACCTTCAAGTTAAGTTTCAGGCAATACTTTGTTGTTCAATCCTATTGTCTTTTTCTTTGGATGCATTTTACCCACTGGCTCGTATTGCTCTGACACATACTTGGTCAAGGGGAACGACTTGTATTAACCTGCCTGACAAATAGAGTGAGGAGGTGCAGTTTCACGATGTATTACAAGCTATTTCGACAAATGACCAAAAAATGAGAATCCTACTTCCTTATATGTTCTGTAGTCTCAGTTTCTGTTCCCCACCCTCTCCCTTTGTGGTGGAAACTTTAACCAAGTAAAGGGAGGAATCCTCCTCACCAGCACCTGTGATATTTAAGTATTTCTCTAGTCAGTGATGGCAACAGGATGCACAACAGACGTTATCTTTCAGTCACCTGTAATTTGCCTAAACTTGTGTACACACAACCGAGGAACCCACCTCAGATAAACCCTGGAAGTTTCTGTGGCAAAGATGCAGGGACAGAGGGGTTTCCTTCTGGGCACTCATCTCTGTTTCTTAAGTGATATAAGGAGGTGACCTGCCTGGCCCTGGGACTTCCTGCTTATGTTTGCTGGACTCAAATTGTGCAGTGCTGGACTGATGACAGCTGGGATCATTCATAGCACTGATCTATTTTCTTTTTCTAAGATTCTATAATAAAATGTATTAGAACACAAAACGAAGGAAAGGAGCGGGAGGTAAATGCTCAACTAAGTGGTTGTTATGAAACTAAGGGAAGCTGAACATCTTTAGACCCAGAATGGGAGGGAGCAAGAATTTAGGTATGTGAGGCCATGATTCCTTCTCATCCTACCTGGGTCACTTTTCATTTGAATCATCTCTGGCGAATGATTTACACATCTCTGTTTCTTTATCTCTTTTAGATATCTCTTTAGATATTCTAAAGAACGCAGCAAGAATATCTCTTCCGCATCAGAGGTGTGTTTTGAAGGAAAAATAAAAATACAACGCCCAAAACACTAAAGTGCTAAACAAATATGGACAACATATGGTAAGTTTAACACTCTTTTTTGGTTTTACATATTTATTACCTCTTCTCCTGTACACTCCATGAGAACAAAGACTTTATCTTGCTACGAGGTGTCCCCATATGGAGCCTGACATGTGTCAGACTGTCAATAAGCACTTGTTGAGTGGGCAAGAGAGGGTGGGAGAAGAATCAGACTGACATTAAGCTGAAGCAGGAGTTAATCCTTCTCAGAGAAACAAGACCTTAAAACTCAGCTGAAAGTGAGTTTGCAAAGAGGGAATCATTATCCTTTGGTAAATGGGACCAGACACTAAGAAGAATTGAGGAGGACAGAAACCGACTTTTGTATAAAAAACTTTATGGTGACCCAAGTCAATATTTTTGTCACTTAAGTCACCTCTTCACTATTATTAATAAATTGTCTTTGATCCATGGTTGGTTGAATTGCAAACATAAAACCTGTAGATACAGAGGGCTAACTGTACTACCTAATCCAATTTATTATTTTTTTGTTATTCCTATTATAATGCTAATGACTAAGAATCAATAAATGTGCTCTGTCAAAGGAATTTTTTGATCCTCTTATAATGGTTTTGCATTTTTTACTACAAACAAATAACATATACTGGAAAAATAAGCCCCAGACTGCCAAAAGCAGTTCATTTGTAGGCAGAAGGTTGAAATGACAGGAAAATGTTGTGTTCTTGCTAGATAACATCATCTTTTAATAATGTTTAAATTTTGTAAAATTAGGTAATATCCATTCTGCGATTTAAAAAATAAAAGTAATGAATTAAGAACAAAATGCTACTAAAAATAGAACATTAATATTTCTCTAAGATACTGTTAAAACGAGGCTACCTGAAATCTCCAGGTACACTTGCACTTTGGAGGATAGTAACTTGGGTAATACGGACTTGAAATTTTCCCTTCAAAGCCAGTGGTTTCTTTGACCAATACTGTGTTTTCACACTCTGAAAAAGATACCCAGTAACATACCATGATTTACAGCTAGAAGACAATGGGAAAATACACATTTCTTTAATTATAAAATTTATACTGCCTTCATCAAGAAGCTTTAACAGCTTTTGAACTTTGTTTTATTTTTTTAAAAAGGAAGATGGGCTCGGCGCCTATAGCTCAACCGGCTAAGGCACCAGCCACATACACCTAAGGTGGCAGGTTCGAATCCCCAGCCCGGACCCGCCAAACAACAATGACGGCTGCAACCAAAAAATAGCCGGGCATTGTGGCGGGCTCCTGTGGTCCCAGCTACTTGGGAGGCGGAGGCAGGAGACTCGCTTGAGCCCAGGAGTTGGAGGTTGCTGTGAGCTGTAATGCCACGGCACTCTACCCAGGGGGACAGCTTGAGGCTCTGTCTCAAAAAAAAAAGGAAGATGGCTGGGCACGGTGGCTCGCACCTATAATCCTACCACTCTGGGAGGTGAAGCCAGGTGGATTTCTTGAGCTCTGGGATTCAAGACTAGCCTCAGCCAGAGTGAGACCCTGTCTCTAGTAAAAATAGAAAAATTAACCAGGTATTATAGTGGGCACCTGTAATCCCAGCTACTCAGAAGGCTGAGGCAGGAAGATCACTTGAGCCCAAGAGTTTGAGGTTGCTGTAAGCTAGGCTGAGGCAACTGAGTGAGACACTGTCTCTAAATTAATTGTTTAGCTAGTTAATTAATCAATTGAATAGAAAGAGCACCCAACCGATGTGCAAGCTAAAATACTTGTTCTCAAATTATGTATTTGTTTTCAATTCATATATTTTGGCTACAGATCTGTCTGTAAGATGTTACTGCTTTCTCAGAAAACAGTTCTGAACTCAGAGACAACAGCAGCAGCTGAATAGCAACTCCTCTCAGGGGTCTGAGTTTCACATCACAGACCCCTCCTCCAAGCTCTCCATTGCAATAATTCGACCTCTGTCCCTTGTTCCCCCTGCCCTGCATGTGTTATACACATGATATCTTACAGTTCCTCTCTTGTCCTTTTTGCTTTTGATTAACACTAACAATTAGATGTTAGATGATTAACACTAACAATTAGATGTTAGATGATTAACACTAACAATTCTTCATTAAATTCACTCTGTTAAAATAACTAACTTGATCTCTCTCTCCTTCACTGGACCCTGATTCAGCATCCTTACTAATACAACTAGTATTAGCCCCCAGAAAGATAAGACTAAAGCATCATAACAAATATTTCTAAAAGTGACTCCTCTCTAATTGGAGAAGACTTACTTTGTTCCGGAATGACCTCAAAATACGCCCGGATTCCTGATAGCTTCTGTATACGAGGAGACTTCAATGTCACCAACATGAGATTATTTGTAGAAACAAATGACATTAATGTTCTTGTGGGTTCACAAATCCTGAAAGCAGATAACCAAAGTACATGAATAATAGGTTATTTGAGTGATGGACCTCCATTCAACACAAATTCCACACATTTCCTGGGCCATCCGCTCAGTTCTTGTGACTCAGTCTCTGCCAGCTGTGTCTTCATCACTTGGTGGCCACAGGGCTCTATAGATGAAGCAGAGCTGAAAAAGGTACAGAAATTTTTGTCCAGTAACTACTACCAAAGAATTCTCTGGATGGATATCCCTGGACCATTTTTGAGCACAAACAAGATGTAAAGATAGTGCATTTGATGGCTAAGGTCACAAGCCCTAATGAAAACTTGATTCAAAACTCAGTTCTGATCAGGTCCAGTGATCAGACCTATAATCCTAGCACTTTGGGAAGCCAAGGCAGGGGGATCCCTTGAAGCCAGGGGTTTGAGGCCAGCCTGAGGAAGAGCAAGATTCCCCATCTCTACAAAAAATAGAAAAAATTAGTTTGACGTGGTGGCATGTACCTGTAGTCCCAGCTACTTGGGAGGCTGAGGCAGGAGGATTGCTTGAACCCAGGAGTTTGAGGTTGTAGTGAATTATGATCATTCTACTGCACCTGAGCCCAGGTGACAAAGCAAAACCCTGTTTCAAAATAAACAGCAAGGAAAAAACTCAGCTACCTCACTTCACTGGGTGAAAGGTACTAGGCTTAAATATGTGTAAATGCCAGTTTCTCTTCTCTGAAATGGTAGCGATAATAATAGTACATTCCTCGGACCACTGTGGTGAGTATTAAATGAGGTAATAATCAAATATGTCCGGAAGGATGAAAAGAAACTGGTAATGACCGAGGAACAGGAGTCAGTGGCAAAGTTATTATTCACTGTACCCCTACATAGTGTTTAAATGTTTAATATGCACATTCATCACCAACATATAAACACCGCATACACACATAAAACATTCTTACATACACGTGCAGATGGTGTTAAAAAATAATTTAGGTACATTTTAGCACAGTAAGTAACAAATAGTAACTTCTTAGAGTTTAACTCATTTGTATGTTATCAAATATTAAGCACCCCTAAGCAGATGTCTACTGGTAAGTAAAAAAATTAAGGTATATGTAAAATATGTGTGTGTATTTAAAAATACACAAATGGAAGGAATTATGCTAAAATATAACAAAACTTTGCTCTGGATAATGAGATTGTAAATTGACATTTGTTTCTCTGATTGACCTCATTTTCCACAAGGAATATGTGTAAGAAAAAAATTGAATTGTTTACTAATGCTATCCAATCCTCACAGAATTCTTACAATCTATTGAAATGGTCGAGTTCATTGTGTTTATAACAGATGCAAAATTACACAGAATACCTATAATATTTCCGATATATTAGCTGAAATTCTTGCTATAATGACTTTGAGAGTTTTGTTCACTACAAGTGAAAAACAAACATTGAGTCTGGTGGGCTCAATGCAAGGATTCTAAAGTATAAGGTGTACTAAATAGGGCACAGGTGTCAGTCTTTGATCCCGTGAGTGCACACAAAGATGTTTTTGTTTTTTTTAATCCAAGGAAAACATATACCATAAAACAGAGGCCTTGTAAAAAAAGAAAAACTTTTTGGCTCAGAGCCCTTAGCACAGTGGTTATGGTGCCAGCCACATACACTGAGGGTGGTGGGTTTGAACTCAGCGTGGGCCATCTAAAATAACTGCAACAACAACAAAATAAATTAATAAAAATCTTCTCACCCACCGACAAGAGTGCCTGTGTAATACCTGTATAAGATGCTGCTTCTGATTGGCAAGAGGGAGTCATAAATGGTCAGGGAGTCGGTGACACAGTTGTCAGCTTCGATTTGGATGGACTCAATTGAGAGCCGAATGAGATAGCCCACGATGGCCACCAGCTTGAAGTGACACATCAGCCTCCCCGAGGTTGCCGAAATCTCCAGAGGGTAGCGGAAGGTCAGATGATCTGCATAGACGTACTGAGAGCAGCCTTTGTCTGTGGAGACAGCATTTCCTTTTCTTTTTCTTTTTTTATTTTTAGGAATGACTTTTATTGAAATTGTGATAGAAATGTAAAGAGCAGAAAAGGTCCTGTGGAGAACATCTGCCACCTTTGCCAACCTGGAGTCCACTGCACTCTCTTCTGGCTACAGCCCTAGGTTTTACTTTGAGAAACTATTCCTAGCCTGTCTCTATAGTTTGGTTGGGGTTAACCCCACTCCTAGTTTCAGATGGGGGCATATAACCCGACGTCAAAAAAGTTGGTGCAGGAGTGGGCATGCTGTCAGAAAAGCTAGACAGTGAGAGTCAGCCCCAGAACAGTCAGGAAATACATGCGGGTGTTTTCTACCATGGTTGAAACACTGATCAATTATAAGTTTGGATCTGCTGGCAGCCATTTTATGAGCGTCATCCCCAGGACTTCTTCTAGAATAGTCAGGAAATACGTAGGAGTGGTTTCTACCATGGGTGAAACACTGATAAATTATAAGTTTGGATCCGCTGGCAGCCATTTTATGAAAGTCAGCCCCAGGACTTCTTCCAGAACAGTCAGGAAATATGTGGGGATAGTTTCTACCATGGTTGAAACACTAATAAATCATAAGTTTGGATCAGCCAGCAGCCATTTTGAGAGTCAGCCCCAGGACTTTTTCCAGAACAGTCAAGAAACATGTGAGGGTGGTATTATGGTTGAAAAACTGATAAATTGTAAGTTTGGAATTATAAGTTTGGATCTGCCTGCAGCAATTTTTTTGCCACTACAATAGAAGACACACTTGATAATGAAGCTCTAACAGAAGGAGGCAGAGCTGAAGAGTTCTGATGATATTGTACTTTAGAACCTGGGCCCAAACATGCCTAAAGCCAGCACACTCCATATATGCCCCAGTTACATGAGCCAGTCAAGTTTCTTTTATACTTAAGCCAGTTTGACTATATTCCTATCACTTGTTACTAAAAGAGCACTAACAAACACTATCATTAAAAAAGGAAAATTACAATCAAAAATGATACTAATGTGCATGTAGAGAGGGTAAGGAACCATATGACACAATTTACCAGATCCTATGGTTGAAGAGTAATCCGACCGAAGTCCAGCTGCATTGAAAAACACACAGAAAAAGAGACTGTTAATCCCATAATTTTATTCTGTTAGAATTTTACTTAGTAAAACTTAGCTATTTAAAACCAATCAAACACATCTGAGTTTTCTTTAAAATAATCTAGTGAAGGTGGGGGAGGTTGTTCAGGTATTTAGACATCACACAGGCAGCCTCTGAGTTGACAGTTGTTCCTTATACCATTCGCTTTACTTTTGTGTCCTTGAAATCATAGTTACAACTTTCAAGCATTGTCTAAAGTTAAAAAAGCAATCGAACAAGTATGATAATAATTAATCTTCTATCTGAAATAATATCTGTGGTACAAAATATTCCATGACCTTTTTCATTCATTTAACAAATATTAATCAGTCACCTAACATATGCCTAGTGTGCAAGTCTTCTTATGTATATTACAGACAATTTCTACCATATCTATGTAACACATAACATGTACTTATAAAATATATACATACATATTTTAACATACACAGTTCAAATAAGAGAAGAAAGCTACATAAATTTTGAGTTACACAGTAATCAAACCATTTCACTGTGAAGACAATGAAATTTGCATTTTGATGGGGCTACTGGGCAACTCATTTTGGAGCATTGGGCAACACTACATGATATTAAGTATAGTTCTATCTAGACAAGGAAAGAGATAAAATGAACCTTAGCAAAAATCTTTCTTCTCTAGGACTTTATTTTTGGGAACTTAGTTTGAAGATGTATGAGCTAAATAATTGTACACTTCGGTAAGTTCAATTTCATATATGTTTTGTTCCCAAATCTATGGTTCTATCACTGTATTTAACATTTTGCATTTTCCTTTACTTACATAGCTCCACTGTCTTCAGCTAATCCTATTTTATGATTATATTTGTTTGGTTGCTTTTTTAACACAGGGATTATGGGCGAGAGTACTTCCTTATAAGGCTGACTGCAAGAATGACAAGTATCAAGAGTGTTGCATGGCTCGGCGCCTGTGGCTCAAGCGGCTAGGGCACCAGCCACATACACCTAAGGTGGCAGGCTCAAATCCCCAGCCCAGGCCCACCAAACAACAATGATGGCTGCAACCAAAAAATGGCCAGGCGTTGTGGCAGGCGCCTGTGGTCCCAGCTACTTGGGAGGCTGAGGCAGGAGACTCGCTTGAGCCCAGGAGTTGGAGGTTGCTGTGAGCGTGATGCCATGGCACTCTACCCAGGGGGATAGCTTGAGGCTCCGTCTCAAAAAAAAAAAAAGAGTGTTGCAGGAAGGAACTCTACAGGCAAATCACCCAGCAATCACCATTTAGTACCACAGAGTCCATGTCCACAGCCAGACCCTGCAAGCTGCCCACAGAGGTCCGGTTTATGATGCTTGTCTGGATGGAGTCTTTCAAGATGGCCGCCACACAGTCCTCACAGAAGATGTGGCCCTTGGCATGTGGCATGACAAACACAATCCAAAAGTGGACAAGGAGACCGCCTTTGTTGTTGCTGCTATAATGAAAAAGAGAAACGTTCATGGATACCTCTTAGAAAGTAGACCTCACAGATAGACCCAACTGACAGGTTCAAGGTAAGGCCAGTGAGTACATCCTGCAACAGATCTGTTGCCTTCTTTGAGTAATTATTGACTCCCCCTATCATGGGAACCAGAAAGGGAAAGCATCGTGTTACATGTATTCCGATCATTGCATTGGATTTAAATTTAGAACTAATACTATAGAGTTGCATCTCTATGGAGAATATACTGTTGCTATGGCTATTGATCAATAGCCCCTGCTATTAAAAATAAGTTATAACATTTGATACCTCACCATGTCCAGGCATTGTGCTAAATCTGCTTTAGCTCATTTGAATCCAATGGATAAGGTCCTATTATTATTCAATTTTTACAGATAGAAATTGGAGTAGTTGAGACCAAATAGAACTCAAAGTCACACATCTGGTAAGCAGCAGATCCAGGAATCAAGCCCAACTTGGTTTTCAGTCTGATCCCAAAGACTTGAGTTCCTAATTGCAGAAATGCGCCATGATCGTGAAAGAAATATAAAATAGTTTTCTGTAGCAAATAACCTAGGAAATGGGAGGTTAAGAAAGGTGATCAAGTGGCTTTACTCCAAGACTTCGTCATGCCTTAATGTGCCGAAGCAGATTATGAATTTCTGAAGATATATCAGAGGTGGGGGAAAGTGGAATATAGTACATGGTGCACAATTTTTTCTAAAAATTAATTGACCATGAAATTTTTTTTCCTCAGATCTCTAGTAACCAGTTTTTCACCAGACATTGAGATCTAGTGGCCCCTGCTTTATTTTTGTCTCCACCCTCCACCCAGTACGGTAGCCACCTCCATGAGCATTTTGCCCAATGGCACTGAAATAGGACAGCTATGGGGAGGAGGCAGGAATTGGCAGATAAAGACCAAGAACACAAAGTGACAGCAGGGCAAAGGCAATGTCACCAGTTGTGCTGATAGGCTATTAACCTACAACGACCCCCCCCCCAAAAGTTACATGAGAATGGGGGAATCTCAGCCCTTTCACAGCCTTAAGTGGAATTTATAGCGTGAACACAGAAATCCCCCCCAAAGGGACATACATTACCTGACATCTGCAACGACAGACTGCTTATAAAATTTGGAGAAGGCAGATGTTGTATAAACCAGGTTGACCTGAAAAAGAATCGAAGTGTCTTAGTCTTTCAAACTTGTCTTCCTTTCAAAGTATGTTGCATATTGTAGGTCAAAGCTCTGACAAGAGAAGAGCAGGCTTCAAACTAAAACCCTTAACTCCAACTCTAGACATTATTTCTTGAATTCAAATAAATTCTTAACTTCCAGAAGCAATTCTTAGATTACTTACTTTCATTCTATCTGTGAAAAATGTTACCCTCTTGTACTGATTGCTCTCTTTAAAGACTCTAAACAGGCTTCTGTGTTCTGCCAGTGACAAAGAGTAATTTCCTCTACAGTTAACAAACTAAGTCATTTAAGCCCATTTTCATAGTGCAGCATTTGACTCAACCCCTTCTCTATCAGTACACGGGTGCTACTTACAGCCTTACTGACATACCCTCATTTTAGCCACTAGGGGGCGAATGGTACCCACAGCCAGGTCCTCCAGCGCCCTTCAGAACTCAGTCTTGAGGTCTTGACCCAGCCAGGGGCAGCAGGCTCTGGCCTTGAAGGCCACAGGTTCCCTATGGCTCCGAAGAGCTATTTCAATTTACTTGCCCTCACTTAGCATGTTGAAAACCAAATTCACTCTGTTTGCCCAAGTTGTTTTCCCCTCCCTACATAATTGGAAAACCACCTACTTAATTGTTTGGGATTTTAAAAAGAAAACAACAACAACAAAAAAAGAGAAAACAAAAACTTAGAAATTGTAAAATAAAGTGCAAAAAAACGTGCGCTGTGGAGTTTAAAGTCACTGTGCAGCACAGAACAGGTTGCCTAAAGCTGCTGAGTAAGAGGGTTAGTAACATAACCTTGTACAAAAAAAGGCCTTCAATAAAAGCCACTCTAACCACCATGACTTCGACTGCTGGCCTTCTCTCTCACAGTCCTTCCTCTTTATACACAGCCACTTACCGCATCAAGGTCACCACTGTATTTCCATAGTGGGAATAAAATTGGCAGAAACCTTCTAGTTGGCAGTATGTGCCAGGAGCCATAAATTGATATTTTTCGATTTGGACAAGTAATTATACTTTTTAGGAAATCACCTAAGGGAGTAATCTGAGATACACTCAATTCATGTGGCAGTTTTGCTGTTGCATTATTTATATTAATCGTAGCAAAAATTAGAAACAGCTTAAGCATCCAATAAAAAAGGGATTTGCTAACTTTGGGTGTATTCAGACTTTTTTTTTTTTTTTTTAGACAGCCTCAAGCTATCCCCCTGGGTAGAGTGCTGTGGCATGCTCACAGCAACCTGCAACTCCCGGGCTCAAGCAAGTCTCCTGCCTCAGCCTCCCAAGTAGCTGGGACCACAGGCGCCTTGTCACAACGCCCGGTTATATTTTTTGGTTGCAGCCGTCATTGTTGTTTTGGCGGGCCAAGGCTGGATTTGAACCCGCCACCTTAGGTGTATGTGGCTGGCGCCTTAGCCACTTGAGCCACAGGCGCCGAGCCCAGACTTCTTTTCTTAAGAATATTTACTTGCATATAAATATGTACTATCATGTTAAGAGAAAAAATTAGATCATAAAACAAAATACCTACTAATACTCTAGTATTGCACGATGCCTATGCAGTCTAGAATAAAAAGGAGCTTTATCTCGGGTGATAGTATCAAAGAAGAATTTAATGACTTTTTAAATAATTTTATAAATTTTACTAATTTTTACAATAAATATTTATTAGTTTTATAATGACAAACTTTTTCTTTTCTTTCTTTCTTTTTATTTTTTTAAGACAGAGTCTCACTTTGTCACTCTGGGTAGAGTGCAATTGGTCATAGCTCACCACAACCTCAAAACCTTGGACTTAAGGGATCCTCTTGCCTCAGCTTCCCAAATAGCTGGGAGGACAGGTGCCTGCGA